AAGCTCCACAGCTTGCCTAACATCCCAGAAAGTATTACAGATGAGCTGGATTATACTATGCATAAATAGTCTTGGGCTCTAGAAGGTAGGAGAGAAAATAGTTAAAGGTGCATTTTTGCCCTTTAGAAGGGCCACAAGAAGCTTACAGTAGGTTAAAGATGTAGCTTAGTAATAAAGTGCTTGCCGGGCGTGCTGGTTAGTTAATAGAGGAATTATCGTCATCAGGCTGGCCTGTGGGCATGTCTGTACAGCATTTTCTTAATTGATAATTGACATAGGAGGGCCCAGTCCACTGTGGGTAGGTGGGCCTGGGTTGTGTAAGTAGGTGAGCAAGGCAGCAAGCAGCTTTCCTCTGTGGTCTCTGCTTCAGTTTATGCCTCAAGGTTCCTGTCTTGAGGTCCTGTCTTGGCTTCCCTTGACAATGGACTGTAACCTGTAAGATGAAATAAACTCTCTTCCCCAAGTTACTTTTGATCATGGTGTTTATCACAGCAACAGAAAAGCAAACCAGAACACCTAGCATATGCTTGACATGTCCCAGGACTTGGGTACAAGTTCCATCATTGTAAAAAAAGAACAGACCATAAATCAGCTTACAATGTAGGAGATGGTGTCTTATTTCTACACAAGTTAACACTCTGACTTTAGCTTCTACTGCTAGGAAGGTGAGGCTAACGTCTTGTGGTAGGGTGACATACCTACACAAATGTCACAGGTGCTGTATAGGATTGGGTTCATTGCAAGTTACAGTAGAACACAAAATTGAGGCTTGCCAGTTCTGTCTCACCAGGGATACTGTAGCAAAGTCTATGGAAGAAGAAGTTTGAAAGGAAGTGTCAAAGGGGAATGGACATTCTCCTGGCAAACCAAATGAAGGTAGGAATTTGTAATTGAAAGGATAGGCCTAGAAAAGTCAAAAGGTTTCTGAGAAAGACTTAAATGCCGGAGAGGTAGAGCTCAGCTGATGTTCACTGGTGTAGTTTTGAACAGTGCCACTGTTGGATGTGTTTTAAATACAAAACAAAAATAATACAAGTACAAATTATGTCTAAGGATTCATAGAGAAAACTCTTTGAAATAAGTCTTTCTCCTTCATGTATTTTAAATTTTTTTCTAAAATTTGTTTTTATTTATATGTATATGTATGTGACTATGCATGTGTGTATGTAGGTGCCCATGGAAGCCAGAAGAGGGTGTCAGATCCCCTGGAATTGGAATAACAGGCAATTGTGAGCTACCTGACATGGGTGCTGGGAACCAAACTCTGTTCTTCAAGAGCAGCAAGTGCTTGTAACTGCTGAATCATCTCCCCAGCCCCCGAGTTAAAAAATTTAAGCTGAGCATAGTGGTGCATGCTTTTAGTCCCAGCACTCGGGAGGCAGAAGCAGGCCGATCTCTGTGAGTTCAAGGCCAGGCTGGTCTACATAGTGACTTCCAGGGCAGCTGGGGCTACAGGGAGACCCTGTCTAAAAAGAGAGCCAAAAAGTTTTTTAAGTAGGATATAAATATATATAGTGAAATTTTTTCTTACATTTCTCAATACATCCACCACCCCTGCCACTCATTCCTGGCCTCAGGTAATTATAATGTTTAGTTTCTTTTGTATCCTTACACACACTTTGCATAATCATATAAAAGATATATGATATTTTATAGGTAATCATATAAAAAGATTTTAAAAGGGGGCTGGGAAGATGGCTCAGAGGTCAAAAGTACCAGCTGCTCTTGCAGAGGACCCAATTTGGTTTCCAGCATCCACACAGCAGCTAACAACCATCCTTAACTCCAGTTCTAGGGGATCCAGAGTCCTCTTCTGGTCCCCGGAAGGCATTGCATGACACAGATGCACTTACATACATGTAGGTAAAACACTCATACACATACAATAATAAATAAATATTAAAAAATTAAGGTGTATCATGCCACATGTTTCTCCCTTGGCTTAGCTCACTTAATTTATCTTGGTGATCTTCCCTCTTCCAGTTGCAAATATTTCTCATTCTGTTTTTCATTTTTTATAGCTGCAGAATATTTCATTATAAGAATGTTCTGTAACTTATTTAACTACTTCCCTGCAGGGGACGTTCGAGTGACTTCCACATTTCACTATTTCAAACAATGCTATGTGAAGAGCTTTGTGTACGTGTTATCTCACCTGTGCAGGTCTTGTTGTGGGAGTTGAAATGTCCAGGCTCAGTGCCCATGTATTTGGAATTCTGCTCAGCATTGCCCAACTGCCTTCCTCAAGGGTTTCTTTTTTTTCTTTCTTTTCTTTTTTTTTTCTAGCTTTTTATTCTTTATAATAAGAGCCCTTCTAAGGCAGGAACTATATCTTCTCCATGTTTACTTCCAGAAAAGTAATATACAGTGGGTGAATTAAATCCTTTCTACCTGAAGACATCCTTGAAGAAACACTAGAGGTCAAATCCCCTGAAAGGATAATTGTTAAGGATATAAAGTGGGATTCTTTCATTCCCTTCCAGAAATATGTGGCAAGGAGAACAAAGTGAATGTTCAATCTAGATTGTTCTCCACACCTGAGAGCCAGTGCACTCTTTTGCCATGTTTTAGAAAAGCCCATTTATTACTAAGCTTCAGGTATTAGGGTTACGAGCTTGCCTTTTTCTAAGAGGAAAGAATATTATACAATTATTTGTAATTAAGATTCTGATGAAAATAGTATGCTCACTTTTAAAAGCATAATAGCTTCCTTCTTTTGTTCCCAGGAAAGGGTGACTTACAGTGGGTCACCATGAGTGTCATGCTCTGGTTAGTCAGGGTCAGGCTTTGGAATGAGTGAGTATTTCTAACCACACTTGCCCAGTTATGCTCACAGCCCAGTTCAATCGCGAATGCAAAGACTTCCCACAGTTTTCCTGGACAATTTCATTTTCTGTCTTTGAAAATGACCTGAACTTCTTTGTGTTCTTTTGTAAAAGTTGTCTACAACAGTCTGTGGCTCTCAGAAGAGTTTTAAAGACTATAGGACTTTACAGGAATAAGAGCAAATCCTTTAAACTCTAAGAACATTATCTTTTTTGAAATACAGACACACACACACACACACACATACACACACACACACACGGATTGAATAATTGAAAAAATACATATCACTGAGAAGAGAGGTGGGAAATCCTGATGTATAATGACAATGAAGCCATAGTGTACGAGGCAGGGTTTCCTAACCAGGAGGCAGGGATGCTTCAGGTGGTCCACAATCCCCTAGCACTGTTTAGGAATTTACGTGTGTGGACACTTATGTATCTAAGAAGCTTCATTACTGAGCTCTTCAAAAGAGTCTGAAAACTTTCCTTGTAAACAAAGACATCAACTTCAGCTGAGTGCATAAGAGGTTAATGCATGCTGTCCACATTCCTGTCCCTTCCCTTTCTTCTTTCAATAGAATCTTTTGGCTTAAAAGGCCCACAGCAGAAAATCTTGGGAGTAACTTTTATTTTCAAATATTTATTTTATTTTAAGTTATGTGTATATGTATATGTGTGTGAGAAGATATGTGTACCCGTGTGCAGATTCCCTTGGCAGCTGGAGGCGTTGGAGCTGGATGCAGTATGGGTGCAGTATTTGCTGTTAACTGCTGAGCCATTTTTCCAGCCCCAGGAGTAACTTTTAATTCTTAATTTTTAAATCCTATTTACATTTTTATTTCATAAAATTCTTTCTATGACTTTGATATGGCTTCCTTTTCTTTCTCTCTGATTACTTTGTGAGCAGTCTAAAGTATGTCTTTGGTATCATAAAGATATCTTATATGCTGTTTGCATTTAAATTTGCATTCTTTACTGCTTTTAGAAGCTTGACTGAAAACTTAACAGCTTATTCAAATGGCTGGTTTCTCTCTGAAGCAAGTATTATTCTCTGTGTTAAGATTTTCTACTCTAATTTATGTGGATTTTTCTATAAGCATTAACATTTGCTAATCACCAAACTCTTAATTGAATATGCTGGATTTAGGATTATATATGATTGCTTATAGTCAATAGAATTCCTTAGCATCTGAAAGACTGTTTATAATGTAAATAAAAGGACAGGGCTGATTACAGCTTGGGCAGTTTGGCTTTAAATCTGGCTGTCACCAGTCACAGCTGCTTAACAGTGACTCAGTGCCCTTGAGCCCTACTACTGAGCCTGCAAAGTTACCTTCAGAAGGTGTTTTTGGTTGTTTTCCCTGTTAATACCTTTTCTAGGAGGAGACTTTTTCTTTAATGCTTGTTTATGTCTAGAACAACCTGGAAGTTTAACAAAATAAGTGAGTAAAGATGTTTTTAGTAATAAAAATAGTTACAGAAATGCTGTTTTTCATAAGTTTTTGAGGAAAATGTGATTTAAGGGTAATTTTTATCTATTGAGTGTTTCATTTATTTATTTCTCCTTAATAACTCAGTGAAGTAGGAATTCTCCAGACCAAAAATGTTAGATTTTTATTTTTCTCCATTTTTCTTTTTCTTAACAGTTTGATGAAACCCTTTTCCAAATAGTGTTTATAAATAAATATGCAGAATGAAAACACAGGATTACAAAGGAAGTGAAATACTTATAGTTATCAGAATATTTTAAAATGCATAATATGTATTTATGCAATGTATTTATTGAGGCATTACAAATCAAACTTAAAGGATGATTTTAACAATAACTCTAACTTCAAAACATAGAAAACATTAATGTATTTTAATCTGAAAGAACTCTAGGAATAGGACAACTGTGGATTTCTGGGGGTTATAAAGCCATAAGGGCTGCTTGTACAAGGGCCATGGCTTGCACTCATAATGGAAGGAATATTGAAAATAGAGATCTATTGTGTGTGTGTGTGTGTGTGTGTGTGTGTGTGTGTGTGTGTGTGTGTCTCCAAGTGGCTAAACAGGAGATATCTGGATTCCAGGATTAGAACCTGTTAGGACTTTGGGTCATGGGATCACAGTCCAGAGAGCAACATCACTTCCTTTTTTTCTTTTAAAATGGTGAGGAGAGAGCCCACTTACCTTCCAGGGTCTCACACTGTACTAGGTTGATATAATCCTGCTGGGTCAGGAGGTTGGCTTTGCATCCTCGCACCAGGCCCTCGAGGTAGCCATGGTCCACATTGAAGTACAGCTCTGCAGTCTCCAGCATGAGGAAAGATCACAGCTGGCTCAGGCTGAGGCAGTTCTGGGGTCAGGCCTGGGCAGCTTCTGAACACTTGCACTGGTCTGGAGAAGTGTGGGTAGTACCAATAGTCACTCAGCTGATAGTCAGTGTGCTAGTGACTAGTTTTCTCCAGTTTCAGCAGCTTTCAACACAGTGTAAGCAGCCCTGTTTTTACAGCAACAGTGAGTCAGCCAAATGGCCAAGGAAACTCAGGGAACAAGCCACTGTTGGGAGGAGAGTGGCTGGAGAGAGGAGAAGGCGGATCAATTCTCTCTCACAGAACAAATCCTAACCAGTTTTGTCACTGGAAGACTTCAAGCATGGGGATGTTTTATCCTTTTATCTTATCTGAGTTTTCAATTATAAATTACATTTGTTCCAATTTTTTGTATACCATTAAATGAACAAAGAATTAAAAAAAAAATGGGAAAAACGCTCGGTGTGATGGCTCACAGCTTTAATCCTAGGGCTTGAGAGCATGAGTCAGAATTGTCTTGAGTTTGAGGACAACTTGGGTTACAGAGTGAGACTGTCTCAACAACAACAACAACAACAACAACAACAACAAACAACAAAGCAAAATAGATGGAAGATTTTTTTAAGAACAAATGTTAGCCGGCAGTTGGAGAAGTTAATTCTGTAATATGGTGTATTTGTATCAGAAATGATTAGTAATGTCTTAAAATTGCCAAGGGCTGGTAGATATTTCTTAACCTGTCTAGGATCAGAGCCTTATGATTTAATAATAATAAGTCACAACCTTTACAAAATTGGCTGATGATAAGGAACTCTTAATTTTCTTTTTCACACAGTATCTTTGAGACAGATAATATTACTACCCTAGGCACAGATAATGAACCAGGTTTCAAAAGCTTTGAGGAAGCTCTAAATGCACAGCTGGTAATGCAGTAGGAATTTAATGAAGCAAGAACTTAATTGTTGTGTTTCATGCTCCAAAAAAGATTATTTGTTCTCCCAATATACTTAGCTCAAAAACTATCAAATATCTTGCACACTATTTGCAGAGGGAGCTTTTCCTATGTGTTCTGTCCAATCCTCACATGGTATTAAAGTACCAGAAATTTTCTCTGTCTCAGTATTTCCAAACAGATTAGGAGTAGACAAGATTGAATCAGTGTAAATTCTGCTATAGTTTTGTTACTGTAACAAAAAGTTCCCTGGGAGAAGGCTGGTCAGAACAGAATGTGGCTTGGATAAAGACCCAGCTTTGTGGTTTTGCTGGTCAGTCACCTGGTTATAGGATCACCCGGAAAAATGTGGGTTCGCTGTAAGCTATTCTAAAAAGATTGGCAGAAAACCTAGTGTATTAATGAGATGGTGAACTTTTCCTGCCCCAAATCCCCACTTCCTAGTGCAGTTCTTGTGGACTGAATCACAGGCAGACATGTGACAGCTTTTCTGAGTTCTTCAGAAAAGCATAATCTCTCCTTTTCTTCTTTTTTATAATATTTTATTATTTTTACTCTATGTGTATGTGTGTATTGCCTGCACCCATGTTGTGCAATGCCTGTGGAGGTCAGAAGAGGCTGTCGGATTCCCTGGGACTGGAGTTATGGACAGTTATTAGCTGCCATGTGGGTAATGGGATTAGAACCCTGGTCTTCTGTAAGAACAACCAATGTTCTTAACCACTGAGCCATCTCTCTCACCCCCTCCTTTTCTTCTTTATACCTCTTAACACTTTGGTCTGCCCCAATGCTTTGGGTTTCTCAACCTTTTTCTCTCTATTTTCTCTATGTACAACTGCCTTCTTCCCTGCTGTGTGGCTGCTCATCCACCCACATATCTGACTCCCTTTGTGTCCCTAAGTAGTGTGAGGGCTTTTTTTCCCTTCTCCTCTTCCTTCCCCTCTTCAAGGCAACTCTGAGATTTATGGCTTGCCTGCCTTGAGATTTTCCCTTAAACTGTAATAAAATTGTCCTCAAGCTTCCAATTGAGTCCTTTTTAAAAAAAGTATTTTATTATATTTTTTATTTTATGTGTATGAGTGTATTGCCTGCATGTATGTAAGAGCACCTGTGTCCTGCAATGCCCACAGAGGTCAGAAGAGGGTGTCAGATCCCCTGGAACTGGAGTTACAGAAGACTGTTAGCCACTATGTGGGTGCAGGGAATCAAACGTGGGTCCTCTGCAAGAGCAGCCAGTGCTCTTAACCACTGAGTCATCTCTCCAGCCCTGGAACACATTCTTAAATTCTTTTATGAATGAGACTACAGACCCTCCAGGGGGCACTGTTTCTGCTTTTAATCAGTTTGTGAAAAATCACAGAAAATGAAACAGTTTTATTAAAAAAATATATTTTATTTAATATTTTTATTTTATGTGTATGAGTGTATGGCCTGTATGTATGTGAGTGCACCCATGTCGCGGAGTGTTGGATTCCCCTGGAACTGGAATTAAGGATAGTTCATAGCCACCATGTGGGTGCTGGGAATCGAATCCGGGTCCTCTGCAAGAGCAGTCAGTGCTCTTAACCGCTGAACCATCTCTCCAGCTCCAGAAAATGGAATAGTTTTACATAGTGCCGAAGTTTGAAAGTCTTCAATAGATAGACCTAGGTGTTAGGTTCCTGGCATGTTCCTAAAATGGTGGTGCAGCTCTCAATGTTATAAAACAGCAGGTTCAAACTTAGCCCAAGGCAAGTCCTTCTTATTGGGGGACCAACCAATCCTGGGCTGAACTGCCCAGCCTGCTTCATGGAAACTTACCCAACCATGTAACTGCCTATAAAAGATGTTTGATTCCCCCTGCTTGCTGCTGTTTTTCTGCTCCCTGAGAGGCAGCCCAAAGATCTGTTTCCTCTCAAATAAACTGCTGCCCCCCACCTCCCATGGAGTTACCTGGCTGGTGGTCTTCACTATGTCCTCTTCCATATACTGGGTTCTTACTATGTCTTCATTACCAGCCTTTCTCTTACAGAAACAAACATCTTGAATATTTTATTATTTTTATTTTTATGTGTATGAGTGTGTATTGTCTGCTTGTATGTACGTGTACCCAGGTCATGCAGTACCCACAGAGGTCAGAAGAGGGCATCAGATCCCTTGGAACTGGAACTATGAATGCTTGTTAGCCACCATGTGGGTGCTGGGAACTGAACCTGGGTTCTCTGCAAGAGCAGATAATGCTCTTAACCTTGAATATGGTTTATGGTGACTCATATGAGTTTATCACTTTCATAGATCTAAAGGTGGTTGTGTATTAGCTACTTTATATAATTAAAATTACAAAAAGAGTAGGATTTCATGTTTTATGACAATAGAATTATGCATGCACATACATATATATCAATTTCTTTATCCAGACATCTACTGATGGATACTTGGGTTGTTTGCAAATCTTGACAATTCCGAATAATTCTGCAATAAACAAAGGAGAATAAATATGCTTTTGAGACACTGATTTCATTTCCTTTAGCCGCTTATAGCCAGTTGTGGGATTAAGAAGACAAATACTGTTTGATTATATTTATATGTGGAATATGAAAAGTTGAATCTATGGAAACACGATTAACAGGAATGGGAGGTAGGGTAATATGGTGATGCTGGTCAAAGAAACCATGAGAAGTTTGCCATTCTTTTTTGTATTATGCCTTATTTACTGGCAGTTAATATTGTACTGATTGATACACATATAATTAACATCTTTATTCAAGAAATACATGAGGACAAATTAGTAAACAAAATAATACTTTTCACTCCAGAGTTTACATATCACAAAATAAACAAATCAATCAGTGAGCAAATAAGTTCATATGAAGAAAAAAATAGAGCGGTATTGAGGTATATGAGTGTAAACAAACATAATAAAGTACTATTTTAGACAGCTGGTTTGGAGCGAGTTGGTAGACTATCAGTAAACCACTATGTCTTCCTCCAAGTGAAGGGGAAGAGGAGAGATCATGGAGAGTCTGGCTTGTTATATTCATAGTATATTTAGAAGCAGAAAGTGAAGAGTTGAAAAGAAGAAAATGGCAAAAAATGCTATTTTTCTTTAGTCTTGCTAATTTGTAAAACTTTTTCCCTTTTTAATTGAAATTTTACCAGCTTGATAAATATATTTTGATCATATTTAGATCTCATCTCCTATCTGCACCTCCCTTTCAACACCCAATTTCATGAACGTGTGTATACACATGCACACACATACAAAAGTTGGCAGAGTCAAATTTTTGTCCCCAGATACCCTTCCCTGTGGGTCCATCCACTGGAACCTGGTTAACCTACCAAGAGTTACATCCTTAAAAGAGACTGACTCTCCCTGTCCCATCAGTTATCAGTTGTCAATAGTTCCTCAGGTAGGGTTGGGGTTTCTTACCCAAGCCTGTGCTGGAATTTTGCCTGACTTGAGCTTATGTGGTACTTGTGCATCTGTTACCACTGCTGTGAGTTCATATGAATGACTTCCCAGCTGTCCTGAAAAAACAAAAAAAAAAACAACTCAGTTTCCTTGTGCTCATCCAGCACCTCTAGCTCTTACCATCATTCTACCCCCTCTTGTGCAATGATCCCCAAGTCTTGGGAGGAAGACATTTGATAGAGGTGTTCAATTCAGGGATAAGTGCTCTGTAGTTTCTTATTCTCTGCATGTTGGCCAGTTGTGGGGTTTTGTGTTAATCACTATTTGCTACATAAGGGAGCTTCTGTGGTAAAAGTTGAGAGATGCACTAATCTATGGGTATAACAGTGGTCTTTTACCAAGCGAAGTTTCAGAGGGTCTCCTGGATAATGTTGGACCTTCCATTTTTCTTGGTCAACCTGGGCAGGCTTGATGTGTGAGTGATGAATCCAGGTGCACAGTCCGTCTACCTTCACTGCCATGGGAGTTGTCAGGATCACAGTGAATGGTCCTTTCCACTGAGGGGCCAATGTCTCCTTCTGATGTTGCTTTATCCAGACAATGTCTTCAGGTCAGTAAGGATGTGGAGTAGCTGGAGGCAGTTTGTGCACATGCCGGATCAGGGGGTGGAGGTTCTCCTGTACAGCCTGTAATGCCCTAATAGACTGGAGGATTCCAGGGGAGGGGGTCTTCTGAAAAGAATCTCAAAAGGAGT